TAGCAATTGATGTAAAAATAATTTTCGTTTAAATGAACAGAAAATGGAAAGAAATTTTGATGGTAGTAGAGGAATATACTTGAATGCAGTAATATTTTTTGATATTCGAGGTCAATATATGATAATCACATGCATAATTTATTATCAAATTACCAAATCATATCAAATCAAATTTATTATCAATATTACTGAATAGATGTGCATAATTATCAAAGAATTATAATTAGCAAATCATATTTGGCCCGAAATTTTTTGTTTTCTTTTGGAGAAAAAAGCTATCAGCCTTCCAATAGTTCAATAAGAAACAATTTCCGTTTAAATAACGATCAAAAAATGAAAACAAAACTTCTCAGGTTAAACCAGTCACACCGAGAAAACTGCATAATCCGGCAAAGGAACTACAGCGTCCAGTAACTAAAGACATGCAGTATGCTTACAAGGAGCTGCCGCTCCGGAATCGGGCTTTCGCACCGTGCATACCACATTTAGAGAGAAAGAAAAAGCAGCTTGATAAGAAAATTAAGCGGATGCAAAATAAATCATGTACCGGCAAATGATTTCTGCAAACTGCATTAGTGATATGCAACAACAATGACTAATTGCGTATGATTCGGTGGATGGATTTATTGATTTTAGAAACAGTTTATTGATTTCATCTGTTAATAGCGATCATTTTATGATGTGAATGAAAGGAAAATAAAATAAAAATCTTTTCTGCATTCAAAAGTTCTTGCAACTCGCTCAAATGACCCGTATGGAACAGATAGCAACTTAAAATGTACGGTCTGAGGCAGAGTTTTCACTCGAAGCCAATCAAAGTGACAATTGAACGTTTTTCCGGTTGCCTGTTAAATTGAGTTCTCCAGTAGCGTAAAAAAAGAACTGAGAAATGGCAATAAAAAGAAGTAGAAATGAAGACGAAAGAAGATTATTTATCTTTGCAAGCTCATCCAATAATGGTACTAACAAATAGACATAACTATATTTCCTAATGTCATAATCTCAACATATATTGATGACAACTGCACAGTCCTGAAGAATGATCGCATTAGAAAATACCGATGCGAAAAATTTCAGAAAATATCTGCTACTAGAAATTCCAGAAAATATCAACTACGGAAAATTCCAGAAAATATCTATTATGGAAAGTCCCAGAAAATATGAACGGAAAATCTAGAAAATATTAACCACGAAAAACTCCAGAAAATTACTTCCTTGAAAAATTCCAGAAAATACCTACTATGGAAATTTTCAGAAAATATCTCCTTTGGAAAATCTATAAAGTATCAAATTACAAAAAATCCAGAAAATACTACCGTAAATTCCAGAAGATATCTATTACGGCAAATCCCGGAAAATATTTGTCATGTAAAACCCAGAAAATATTTACTGTGAAAAACTTCAGAAAATACCTACAATGGAAAATTCCGAGAAATATATGCTACGGAATATTCTGGAAAATATTTACTGCGAAAAACTGCAGAAAATATCTACGGAAAACTCCAGAGGGATTCTGCTATGGAAAATCTAGAAAATACCAATTATGAAAAATTTCAGTAATTATTTAGTATGGAAATCCCCAGAAAATCTATGGTATGGAAAATTTCTGAAAATAGCTCTTATGCAAAATTCCAGAAAATACCTACTACGGAAAATCAGAAAACATGGAGAATATCTACCATGGGAAATTTAAAAATATCAACTTGGAAAGTTCCAGAAAATACCTACCAGGGCAGAAAATATGTAATGGAAAATTTTCGGAAACATTTACTGCAGAAAACTCCAGAAAATGTCCACTGCGGAAAATTACAGAAAATATCCGCGGAAATATCCACAAAATAAACCAATTGCATCTAACTTTTCAGATAAAACTGCCGTAGTAAATCTTTAATTTTCTTCTGGGTTAGAAACAGCTCAACTTCTCTTTGTATAACTTCCCAGTATATTGTCTTTGATGGTCAACAAGAAAATGAGAGTCTTGTGATCGGAGTACATTACACCGCACAGTTTTTTTTTAAAAGGGAGTGTATTTAAGCCATTGTTTTTGACATTTATTGTGAAAGTTTGATTATCTGAGTTGAATAGTTTCAGCAACAATATATTTGATATTTATTTGTGTAGGAAGTGACTAAAGAACTTCTTTATTGACAGGATAATATGCAGATCTCCTTAAACAATAATATTGACCAAGCCAATAGACTTTAAATTTGGTAATAATTGGACAGTTGGATTAAGAGCAGAGATGCCTGGAAATTTCCTGTTAATAACGTTATGTGGCGTCCAATCCAAAAAAGGAATCTTTTTTATATTTGGATAGGCTTATATATATTAAGAAGTGAGAGGCGGTGATATTAAAAACCGTAAACTGTTGAGAGCCAAATTACAAAAACATGCCCATTGCAACAAGATCCAATGAGAAGAACAGATGTGTATTTAGTTAGATATTTTAAGGAATTGCTAACAAAGGCATTTCTAAACAAAGACATGTGCTTAGACATAAAGGAAAAACATGAGAATTGAAACGGGAAATAAATCTAAGGAATGTAAATTTAAACAAATATGTGAGATAAATGGTAAACCATGAATCATGGGAAAACATTCCTAATTTTATTTATATAATTATAAAATTTTAGTTTTTCACGACTTTCGCGACAACATTAGTCACTTTTATGGCCATTTCTATTGTAATTAGCAGGGAATTTAGAGAGGGTCTTGAAAGCTAACACATGAAGATATATGATATACAGTGAGTGTTAATGAAGCAGAATTGTCTGTTTTATCAATGTCGTTAAAAGGAGAATGATTTTAATACAGTTGGGACGCTATCCGTACAAGAATCGACTAGTTTCTCCCACGTAAAATTACGTTTCTTAAACGAAATCAATAATTCCTCTTCAATAGTATGGTATGGTTTCCTACTGTGTATGGTTTCCTTAATTTTGCTATTAATTTCGGTATCTCAAACAACGCAGCTGATGTTATTTTCCGACAACGCAAAGTTTGTATCACTAAGCCCGAGTTCCATTTTCTTCAGATTCTCTAATTTTCCTTCAAATAATAATTCTGTTGGTCGGTCAAATAAATTAGAATGGTCCGTTTCTAAGTGGCCTTTTAATTTTGATGAGTTAAACCAACAATCTTCAAATAACTACAATGAAACACCGTTTCCAGTAAACCTTCAAGGTAGACTTGAAAACTATCCCGCAGATCCCTCTTTGAAGCGCTTTATTAACATATTAAAAACAGCATCCTACAGTCTTCTGTGAAATTTTTAGGATTCTCCGTCAAGAGAAACGAAGACTGGTTTTATGAAAACAATCAAGGGATTTAGAAATTGTTGACAAATAAGAGATCTGCTCATGAACTACACCTCGCTCTGCAATCTTGCCATGCAAGATAGGCAACTTTTCGCCTTGCACGCAATAAGCTTCAACTTCAGCAGAAACTTTGAAGCATCCAAAACAAATAGTGGCTCAGTCTGGCAGGAAATATTCAACTGTGCGCAGATTTGGGTAACTACAGAGGATTCTACGAGAGTTTGAAAGCTATGTATGGGACTACACATCACAATTAAAGCTCCCTACTCAGCGCAGATAACCAAACACTTCTCACTAACAAAATCTCCATCCTGGATCGATGGTTTGAACATTTCCAACTTTCTTTAGTGCCAATCGTATAGGCCGAGGCCTAGCAATTCAGCATATTATACAACAACCAGTGAAAAACGAATTGGGTATAGCCCTATTATGGCAGAGCCCGACTATGGCTAGGCCACATAGATGAAAACTGACAAGACAGCAGGGAATGGTGCCATCCAACCTGAGGTCTGGAAACATGCAAGTCAAGCACTCTATGCTAAGTTTCACGACCTCGTTGTGCAATGTTGGGAAAAAGGTGACCTACCACCGGATCTTCATAATGCAATCATTATCATCCTATGCAGGAAGAAAGTAAAATCAGACTGCTCAACTTACCCTGGTATTATTCTGTTCTTCATTACTGGCAAAATCTTCGCAAGAATACTTCTGAACAGACTAGTGCCCACTATCTCAGAAGTTTCATTTGAAAGCCAATGTGGCTTCAGAGCTAATCAAGAGAAATCTAAGTGGAACAAAACAAAAGTCTCTATATGGCCTTCGTTAATCTCATCAAAGCCTTTGACACTGTGAGAAGAATTGTTGTAACTGTGAGAAGGTCTGTGGCAGATCTTGGAACGATTAGGATATCCTCCCATTCCTGAAAATGATCTTGCTACTACACGAGAATCAGTCCGGCCAAGTCAGACATGGCGATACACTCTCAGAGTCTCTCCCAATAATCAGTGGGGTGAAACAACGCTGCGTTCTTGCACCAACTCTCCTTACAATCTGTTTCAACATAATGCTCCAAAGGGTCGCGCAGACCTCGATAAAGAAAATGCCATTTACATCCTATATCTATCGTACCGATGGAAGCTTATTCAACCTGACCTCATACGAAGACCCTAAATTATCACATGCGACAGCTACTTTTTGGGCGATGCCGCCTTCGTCGCTCACACCGAAGCAACTCTCCAAGGCTTAACATCTCGCTTTGAAAAGGCTATAGGGCTTTGTGGGTTAGAAATCAGCTTGAAGAAGATCGTTGTCTACCAGCCTGCACCATAGGATGACCACCTTCATCCTCACTTCATCATAAGCGATTCATCAACTTAAGTCAGTCCTGCAATTCTATTATCTGCGCAACATCATCCAACATCAAGATCGATAACAGGTTAGCAAAGGAATACAATATTTTCGGAAAATTTCATAAAGGAATCCAGTGTAATAAACATCTGAAGAGAAATACAAAGATTAGTGTCTATAAAGCCATTGTACTGTCTATTCTTTTATTTGAACCTGAACCATGGTTTGTTTGCCACCACCACCTGCGACTCCTCGAATGGAGTTTTTTTTTGTTTCCACCAACGCTGCGTCTGTACAAACCGAAGCATGCAGTAGTCTGACTACATGACTAACGTTACTGTTCTTACACAGGCGTTGGTCACCAGTACTGCAGCCACACAGCTGATGATGCAGTTGCGCTGGGCTGGACACGTGAAACAACCTCAACCTTGGCCATAAAACTACTATCAATGGTCCACTCTTGCCTCGAATCGGGAACATTAGAGACGCATCATCCATAACAATTGCTGTTTACTTCGAAAACATAGGCGGAACCAGCCTCAAGGACAAACGAGAACGCGGAAAAAGCCGCACCTCACCACTATCGCTTAAGTAAACTTTCCGCTGTGCCTTTTGCAACCGAACTTGTCTATTCCGCATTGGCTTTCTTAGCCATTAGCTTGTCTATAGTATAAGGGTTTAGCTCTTCACATATCTTCTTTCGCGAAGTTTGTCCACAATGAAGATGATGATGATGACTCACAGTACAGGTAAATCCGGATTTATGCAACTATTGTCGTATTTCCTCTCAGGCATCATTTTCTGAAAATAATACAATAAAACAGTAGCTTGATTGGTTACTTCTCCCTCTCTCTTCGTATCATCAAAATTAAAATTACATCAGAAATAAAATTATTACACTATTATATTTAAATAATAAAAAGGAGGAGAGAATTGACTAGACAAGATGATAAAATCCTTTAAATAGAAAAATTAAAGGAGAAAGGAAGATATAACCTAACAATGGGGTACGTCACAAATGGACTTCTGTACTAACAGTACATTATTATAAATTGAATAAAATCTCTATCGCTCGCAAAATCAACGTACAGCTTCGAAAAAAAAAGCAAAAAAAAAGCGAAAAGCAAAATAAAAAAAATGAAAAAAGAAAACAACCCTCACCTTGTATTCACCGCGCTGCGCCGATTCCTTCATCTTGCATGTGTTTGATGATTGGTTTTTCTTTCACTTGTACTAGCTTTTTATTCTGTTTGAGCATATCGGGTGCTTCCGTTATTTGGGAAATTTTAATCCACCTATCAGTTATGCTGTTTCAGTAATTTACCACTTTGCCAGTAAAAACTGATCATGAATTCAAAATAACTTTAGTCACCGCATATTAAGTGGTCCACGGCCTATTACCACCCCTTGAGAACCACCAATCTAGAGCAATATTAGCTTAGTTCCTTTGCGCTTTGCAAATCCGACAAATTTAAATTTAAATAAATCAAAAGGAAGCAATATAATTAAATGCTTAGCCTCACTTCACAGTTTATTAAATCACAACAGTAACATTCCCAAGTAAAAAAAGGACTTTCTCAAAACCCAGTAAGAGAACTTCATAAGAAAATAAACCCATAGATGTATACCAGTTATCTTAGATTAACGCATTTTAGTGATCTATATAACAGTTCACCTAAAAAACACAACACAACTGGCAAAGAATTGGTAGTTTTCTTTTGAACATATGTTGCTTCAATTTAAAAAAGTGAAACTGAAGTCAACCAAAGGAATACAAAAATGGAAGGAAAATGTATACAAACGGATTCACAGAATGGCAAAGAAAACGGTAAGAATCATCGAAGTATAAAGGAATTATGTTTAAAAAATTACGTTGAAGACTGAAACAAAAATAGCAACCATAACTGTATTCAAAGTCTCTTACAGGGAAATAAAATTTAATAGTGTAAACAAAAAGCATGTTCTCTTCGCTTGACGAATTTAAAGAGAAAAAAAAAAAACGAAATTAATGGTTGGACCAAACATGTTTGATATCCATCGCTCTAATGATTTCTAGTTCTGAAAATCAACAAAAAAAGGCTCAAATATTACAGTCACAAC